ACCACGCTGCTTCCGTTGTGCCCAAGAGCATACTGGAGCGAGTTGTTCTGTTCCTGAAAGTGAAGCCACTTGTCTGTTATGCACCAAAAATCATTTTGCTAATAACAAAAATTGTCCGGAACACCAAAGACAGATATCTATCAAAGCTATAATGTCAGAACAAAATGTATCCTATATAGAAGCTTCAGCCAAAATCCCATCTATCCATTTGAACAATCCTCAAAAACCGTATTCCGAAGTGGCCTCTACTCAGCTTTCACTTACTCCTACTACCTCCTCCAACCTCCCCACCATGTCACAGGCATATAGAAAAACCATCTTCAAACCTCCCCGTCGCATACCGAGAATTCCCATGGGGTATGACCAACAAGCTCATCAAAGAATAGTTGCAGACTGCCCATCCTCTACTCCAAATGGATGCGCATTATCCAATACGCACAATCAAATATCTCCAAATGAAAATCTTGTTGAATGCCTAATTTCTCTCCTCAATAATTTAATTTTGAAAATGTCAGACTCACTACCGAACAATGTTGCAGAAAAAATCTTTAATTTAGCTAGTTTAATAGATAATATAAATGACTCAAACAAAAGACCTCCATCTTCTTCAATGGAACTGTAGAAGCTTGCAACCTAAAAAATCTGAACTCATCTTCGTAATAAATAAACATTCAATTTCTGTTGCTTCAATATCAGAAACATGGTTCCTACCTAACTCCAAATTTCGCTTGCAAGGCTTTACTTGCCTCCGTGAAGATAGAAATGATGGTTATGGTGGTTGTTGCTTACTCATAAAAAAATCGCTACCCTTTTAAATAAAACTAATTTTACGGATTTTATCGCGTATATTAACTTATGGTCACGGGGGGGACCATGGGTGAGTCCCCCCCGTGACCATGGGTGCTGTAAAGTGCTTGAAACGTCGGGAAAGTAAAATAAGTTAATATACGCGATAAAATCCGTAAAATTAGTTTTATTTAAATGTGTAGTGTTCGCGTAAATATAAGAAATCATTAAATCGCTACCCTTTTCTCAAATTACACTCCCTCCTCATAGCCAACACATTAATGCCGTAGCTGCAAAAATTGCAGGAATCCAAATACCCACTTAATTCAAGAACTATCCTCTCTCTTTTCTTTGTTACCTCCCCCTTTTATTATTACCGGTGATTTTAATTCACATCATGTATCTTGGGGGTCACATTTTTGTGACATATACTCTTCAGAACTTATACAAATTTTTGAAGACATTAATGCTTGCATTATCAACAATGGTTCCCCCACTCATAGAGTATACCCAGGACTAGACCCTAGGTCTGCTGTCGACCTAACAGCTTGTTCTTCTAGTCTAGCCCCTCAGCTTTCTTGGAAAACTCTTAATCAAACATATGGAAGTGATCACTTTCCCATTCTTATTACCAAACCCAATGCGGTTATTCCTTTACCCTCTACTATGCCCCTCCTTAAATATAAGCTCTAAGACGCAGATTGGACTAATTTCACTAAATTTTTAGATACTAAATTTGCGCAAATGCAGGTTGACTTCTCAACCAACCCAATAACTTCGTACTCTCTATTGGTACAATATATAACTGAAGCAGCTGACTTATTTATCCCAACCAAAAAACCCTACAGCAAGAACCTATCCTCCCCTCCATGGTGGGATGCTGAGTGCTCCACTATGATTAAAAGGAGAAAAGCTGCAGAAAAGCTTTATAATCACTGTATGACAACCGATAATTTAATACAATTTCAAAAAACCTCTGCTCAAACAAGGAGACTTCTTTCCAAAAAGAAAAAAAATGGATGGAAAAAATTTTGTGAATCCTTGTCCCCCCCTAATTCACCAGTAACAATAGTTTGGAAAAATATAAAAAAATTTCGTGGCTCCCTTCTTTCTGATACCAACATTTCTGATAACTCTTTACCATGGTTAGAAGTCTTCTCTGATATGTTAGCTCCTCCTTTTGTCCCTAATGAATATGCAATATGCCCACCAATTCCAGTCCCGTCTTACATCAACAATAATGAGATAATCTTCTCATTGTCCGAATTACAGTCTGTGTTATCTGGCTTAAAATCCTCTTCTCCAGGAGAAGATGGCATACCCTATGCATGTTTATGTAAATTAAGCCTTAAGGGTAAATTAATTCTTCTCCAAATTCTGAACAATATCTACATATCATCTAATATTCCTCTGTCTTGGTCAAACCAAATTGTTATACCTATCCTTAAACCCGGAAAAGATCCCAAAGAAGCTTCTTCATACCGCCCAATTGCACTTTCATCTACTTTTTGCAAAATTTTAGAAAATTTAATTAAAAACAGACTTGAATGGTTTCTGGAACATAATAACATCCTTGCAAAAAGTCAATTTGGTTTTCGTAAAGGTAAAAGCACATTAGATAGTTTGAGCATCCTAACTACAGATATTAGGTTGGCCTTTTCTAAAAATGAATACTTGGTGGGTTGTTTCCTGGATATATCATCTGCCTATGACAGTGTTCTTCTTCCAGTGCTCAGGCAGAAAATGCTTCATCTGAACATCCCTGCGAAGACTGTACACTTCATTTACAATCTGTTCATGGGACTATCTATCAAAATTCGCAATAAAGGAATGTTAACCTCGCCCAGAACAATTTGGAAGGGTCTACCACAGGGCTCAGTCTTAAGCCCTATTCTTTACAATATCTACACATATGACCTTGAACATTCGATTTCATCTTTCTGTGACATATTACAATATGCAGATGATCTTGCTATCTATGTAACAGCTCCTGATATCCTAACTGCCTCCCATCATCTTAACAGAGACTTATATTATCTTAATCAATGGCTTACTGACTATGGCCTCTCTCTTTCAGCTTCTAAAAGCAAAATAATAACCTTTAGTAGAAAACGTGTTATCCCTACTATTGATATCTCATATAATGGTGAATCTATTCCAGTTGTTAACAAAGTAAAATTTTTAGGTATTTACTTAGATTGTCATATGATTAATTACATTAGTGACAAATGTGAGAAAGGTGTTAACATTCTTAGATCTCTTTCAGGCGTATGGTGGGGTTCTCACCCCATGTGTAAAAAAATCCTATACAATGCTATCATCCGCAGTCACTTCGACTATGGCTCTTTTCTTCTGGAGCCCTGCAACAAATCAGCCCTTAATAGGTTTGATGTTACCCAAACAAGATGTTTACGTATTATCACAGGCGCAATGAAATCAACTCCTAAAAATGCTTTACAAGTAGAATGTGCTGATCCCCCTCTCTCTTTACGAAGACAGTTTCTAGCTGATAGATTTCTCTCAAAAACACTACAACTATCATCTCACCCCTTACATCGTAAACTAGAATCCTTGCTACTATTAGCTGTAAACAACTCCTACTGGTCTAATAAAAGCTGGCCCCCTATTCTTAAATCTCTAAATAGATTAAAAAATATTGGTTATCCTTGTGTAACATCCCTAATTCTACCCTATTTTGAAACCAGCTATGAAGCTATATTACTAAACCCTAAAATCACTGAATTTAAACATTAATAAAAATTCCCCAACTGCAAACAGAACTTTCTACAACCTTGTGGCAAAAAAATGGTCTGATTGGCTATATATTTTTACTGATGCTTCCAAATTGTCTTCATTCAAATGTGTCGGTTCCGCAGTCTGGATCCCCAAATACAAAATTGTCCTTAATTATAGATGTCCTCCTCAAGCTTCTGTTTTTACTGGGGAAGCCGTAGCCATATATGAGGCTATATCCTATATTCTTTCCCATAAAATTCCTAAGTCAGTTATATTTACTGATTCAAAAAGCTGCCTAATGTCATTACAGAGCAATATATTTAAAATGAATTCCATCTCCCCATTAATACTGAAAATTAAGGAACTCATACTAAATTGTAATAAGAGTGGGCTTGATGTGGAGATTGTGTGGATTCCTAGTCATTGTGGCATAAAAGGAAATGAACAGGCTGACTCCTGGGCCAAAGGAGCTGTTGATACTGGCTGTCCTTCTCATTTAATGAATTACTCTCATGATCTAATGTCATTAGCCCAAATTGAATTAAAGAACTCTTGGAACAGAGAATGGAGCACATCCAGACATATTAAAGGTTGCTACTTTGGTAAAATTCAACCCCAAATTCCTCCAAAACCTTGGTTTTTTAAATTTAGCTTTTTGAACAAACAAATCACATCTACAATCTGCCATTTAAGGCTTGGGCATGCCTGCACTCCTGTATTTCTAGCTAAAATTAGAATCAAAGATCATTCCCTCTGTGAATGTGGTCTGGATGAAGGTACCCCAGACCACATTTTCTTTAATTGCCAAAATCACCCAATTTCTTTATATGACATTCTTCCCAACACAATCCCTCGACCAGTGAATATCAATTCCCTCTTAATTATTCCCAATTCCATATATGTCAATATGATCTCAAAATATATTCAAATGTATAATATTAAACTCTAATTATCGTGTACTAAATTTAGCTTAACCTAATTCTCTATTCCCTGCCCAGGCTAATTCTCTCCTATAACTAGATGTTTGCTCTATAATGTGTGGTCCATAATTTATGTATTTAGTTGCTTTGTTTTTATCCATATTTTCACCTAATAACCGCTAACTCCTTTTCCACCGAAAAGCCTCAAGACAAGGTGCGACAGACCAAAGACTGGACATTGGCAGAATTATTGTGACATAACCACACTACCAAGGGCCATATAGACAAAATAAAAAATAAAATAAAAACTTCATTATGAACAAGCTGATGATAAACCTTTTATAAAGGAAGTAAAATAATTCAAGCAATGCAAGAGTTTAACAAAGAATGAAAAAAAAATCATCTATTATGCAATTACAAGGAATCTTGCCTTTGAGAATATAAGGAAAATATTCAGGTTGATGTTTATTTTGTGCAATGAGTCATTCATGAAATAAATCTAGTTTAATAAAGCAAAATAAAATAAAAAAAAACCATGCTTATTACAGTGGCCTGCACCTGTTGCTCCGTTTCTTCTTCTTCTGGTTCAATATTTTCTTCTGGTGTCAAAAGTGCATCATCTGCTTCAGCATCCCAACTGTCAATTGTGGGAGAGGAATCGGCTGGGATTGGAAGTGCTGCAGGCACTGGAGCTGCTGCAGGTGGTACAGGCGGAGGTTCCTCTACCCGGGGTGATGCTGATGCTGCACCACCATCTCCACTGTCACCACCGTCACCACAACCTATGAATATATAATATTAGAAATGTGGAGTTCAATTGTTGCAATGGAGTCTTGACAATTTTCACCTATTTTCTATACCTATATAAAAATGCTGTAAGTTTAGAAAGATAAAGGTTATATTTCATTTACATACAATAGGTATGTATAACAGTGGTAAGTAAATTAGATAAACACTTACTTTCACCAACATAATTAGGTGACTAAAATTCATAATTAACAGGTAACATAAGCACTGAACATTACTCTTAACGAAAAGGTAAATCAGTTTGAAGGATAAACTTATTACAGTTTTCAGACTTTAAATAATTTAAAATAAAATTGCTTAAAATCAGGTGAATTAACTGCTTGTTAAATACCCTTAAGTTTCTTTAAAAAACAACTAAAAATCTTATTTAAATTGAAATTAAAAATCAAATAAGTTTTAAGACACTACTGAAAGTAGCTAAATTAAATAAGGTGCAGTTATTTGGAATGGAAGTATCAACTAAAACTAGGACCAGTTAATATAAAGTATATTTGCATCAAATCCTAACTAGCACACAAATATAAAAATAAGAAATATGCAAAATAATTAAAAAACTTGCAAGAAAAACTATCCAACATTTAGTAATAGTATGAAAAGATAAGATAAAAATAGATTTTTTAGATATCAATGACAATGTTACATACATTTATGAATTATTTAACCATGGTTAAAATATTTTTAACTTAAACGATTGTTTCACATTCCAGATGTTATGCAGAATGATTAATGGTTACAACTGTTATTAAGATATAGATTAATAATTATCATAAAACTGAAGTCTTAAGCACGAAGAAATTATCAAAAAGCCAAAATAAGCAAACCTTTCTTGTGTTCCATTAGAAAATTAACAAAAAATTGTATTTCTCCGAGAGAAAGTTTAATCGTGTAAAAGCAAAGTAGGTATCGCGCCGCGTGTCTCGACATAACCCGTTAGAACTGGATTCGGAAAAATCACCCGTCGAGTAAACGTTGCGCACATGCGAGAACAGAAGTTAATATTATTTTAGACCAAAACAAACATTTATATCTATGCAAAAAGAAGACAAACTGGGTAGGATATTTATTTTTTAACAGGTATAAAATAATGACATTCTTCTGGCTTACCGTTCGGAACAGGACTCTCTGCAGAATTTGTAGAACTGCTTTCAGATTTTTGTGGTGTAGTAGGTGATTCAGAATTGTCGCTAGCCTGAGAAGGCTTACAAAAAGAAGGCACGAACTCCACGGCATTTACATTCAACGTGGAAAATTTTGTAGACACATCATCGGGATCTTTTGCACCTTGTTCACCTATGACTTCGGCTTCACTTTCCCAAGAGTCAGGAGCACCGTTATTGGACATTTTTATATACGAGACAGTGTAAAATTACTATATAAGTCTTTATATTCCAGTATTTTTATAATTAATCGCGTTCTTTTCTCGATAGATCCGCGTGTGTCTTTATCTGCCACCGGAAGTTCATGGCAAATTGCCAAAACCAAAATTGTACAAGTACAAAATACATAGATAAAAATTATTTTATATGAAATTTCAATAAAAATAAAACTACAAAGTGTTTAAAATTAAACATTAAGATTTAAGTTTTTTCGATGTAATTTAAGATCAAATGAAAATAAGGCTTAGAATAACTGAAATAAAAGTAACATCACGAACGGAAGTTTCCGGTTTCCATGTGCGACCATAAAAAAAAGTGAAAACAAACCTAATAAAAATTCTCACGTTACGTTTTCTAACTTTTTTACTAACTATTTTTATTTAATAATATCTAAAAATTATTTATGTATATTGAATGGTAAATTCTAGTTAGTAGTTATTCTACACTACTCTATGAATTCTAGTGTAATAATATGATTCCTGCTCTGTGTTGTGTTAAACTTAAAATCTATTTTTCTATTACATTAAATAAAATTAGCAACCCGCCCCGGCTTCGCCTGTATAGGATCTACTATGTGGCATTATTTAGATTTAAGTTTGCTTTACAGAACGTCCACAGAGGGCATCGCCACGATACTTATAAATATCGCGTTGCGACCGCGGTCTGTTTTTCTTTTCTCGCTCCTTCACAACTACTAATAAATTGGTTACGAAAGTATTAGGTACCCGTTTTCCTCGCTGCTCTCTTAGGATAATATCCATCATTCTTTCATTCATTCATTTCAGCGTATCCTCTACTGAACAAAGGTGCCTTTTTCATAGATTGTCTCATAGGGGGAATATTTGCCATAGTTCCCTCTCTTAGCAAATGGGTTTTAGCAACCTTGATTTTTTAATATTTCAAATTGTTATCAGGAAGATACTGCTGTTTATCTTCTGTTCCTTCTGTCATCTTTTACAAAACTTACGGGTCTGAATGGGGTCTTCAAGTTTCAAGAGTATGAGATAGTAAATTATCTTACGCGCCGATATACGGCATTATTAAGATCCTGCCTTCACTTCATGATTTCTAAATTTTTTCATCCCAGCATATGAAGGTTTCTCGATGGTTTTTTTTCCCGCTACACAAATGGTAAATCAGCATATAAAATTTGGATTAGAAATGGGATCCAACTCTCTTATGTACGGTGTGACTTTCAAGACTTAGTATTCATACATCACTAATTGTTTTTAAAGTTTATTTCGAAAAAAAACATCACTTGATTTCGAAAACAATTCTCGTGATCGCTCGAACAATAGTAAGTCTTGACATAATTTCTTTATATTTTCAGACATATATCCAACTAATAAAAGTAAATAAATAAACAAAAACGAGTATATCGATGTCGATTGTTGCTAACATTGACAAAGAAATCACTGTAGATTACAGATATCGTCTTGTGAAATAATAACGTCACACATAATACCACTACAATATGGATGCGATTTTTTGGTTTTGGCGCCACCGAAGGTTCGGCAGATTTTTGCCGAAACCGATGCTATTACCAAAAGCTAGATTTTTTTGCCAAAACTTGCCGAAACCGAAACCGAATCTTCAGTCGGTCACTTTTAGCCTAAAAAATACCTTATTATTATCGCTTACCTAATATTTACTAATACTTATATAATCAAATTAATAACTTAAGTACAATAACTTATAGGCATCAATAACTCTACTACGTACCAGTATCTATAGAACATCTGGTTACGCTTGGCATAATGGGCATTGAGCGAAACGCGCGCTCTATACTTTACTTATTTGTACTTTAAGTTCTGAACACTCAGATAAAATGTAATAGCTCCAGTACACGTTGGCCGAGCGCGCTTGGCGAACGCGCTCGGCCAACGTGTACTGGGCCTATTTGTATATATTTGGCGTTTGCGGCCAACACTCGCCGACAAGCCGTATAGTGTCGATTTTCGTGCACAAATCAAAGAAATTTGGCGCAAGCCGCAAACAGTGTTCACACGTTGGCCGAGTGTTCAGTTCACAGTTACGCGTCGGAGTAGACTGTAGTGTCGGCTTGATAAAATTGTATCACGAACATGGCGACATGGACTAATGAGGAAATATTTAGGTTCATTGATTCTTATCACAATGAATCAGTTATATGGAACCCCAAACTTGCCTAACTGTATTAAATAATACATGTTTAGTTGCGATTTCAGAGTACCTACCTGATGATGAATATTATTATAAATTATCTCTGAGTTTATGTTGCTCAGGAACAATGTAGCTTAGGGGCTTATTTCAGACTATCTTTTATTTTGAAAAAACGCCCAGCCAAGCGGGCACGGGTCAGCAAATAGATCCTATAAGGGTTTCTTTTTTCCTTTTGAGGTTGGAACCCTAAAAAGGACAAACTGGGATTATTGTTGTATGTGTAGTGTATATACATATAGAATACTCAGCACCCACCATCTTCTTTTGCGCCATCTTTTTTTAATCACTCTTCTGTGGTGCGCATTTAAATAAAATTTGAAAGCGCTGTACAAGTATATTGCCGCGGCCGCGATCGCCCTAACGTCCATCATCATCTAGCTACCAACGCAGAATGAAACACGCCAACGTGTGAACGGCACCACGAAAATCTGCCGAGCGCGCTCGTCAAGTGCGCTCGGCTAACGTGTACTGGAGCCATAATGTTCTAAGGATTCCCTTCTAATTATTACATGCTCTTTGGCGGGGTCTATAACTTTGACAAGTAGTTCGACAAAAGAGTATAGTAACTGACTAACTGAGTTCAACATACGGATACTGGCGTTTTAGACGACCTGACAGTCAAAAATGCATGACTAATAAACCGCCCCCCCCCCATCCCAGCCTACGAGTTTTGAGTATATATATAAAAGAAAAATACTGAAAGACGCATTTTAAATAGCACATCTCAAAAATATTAATTATTTAAACTGCACCCATGTAGTATAGAAATAAAAAATAGTTAAAGATCGCTCACCTTATAACGTTACGTACGTAGTACGTAGTAGTACGAATTTTAGAATTTAAGGAGTTAAGATGGTCTAAAAATGCAGTTACTTTATCTAAGGGTGGGATTGTGAAAGTGTCGTCTACGTACCGCTTGTAGAATCTTGGGTTTACGGGAGAAGTAAGCAGGCCTTTCTCCTCAAAATCCTCCATGAATATATCGGCAACAATGGGAGATACATGTGAGCCCATCGCCACTCCATCTACTTTCTTGTAGAACTCCTCCTTCCACAATAGGTAGCCAGATGTAAGGCAGTGTCTGAGTAATACTGCATATTCTACGGGCATGTTGTTTTCCTCTAGCCGTCTAGTAACAATCGAGATGCAGTCTTCAACAGGTAGGTATGTGAACAGAGACTGCACATCAAAACTCACCATAGTTTCATTGTCTGCCAGATGTAGGTCTTTAATCTCGCTGACAAACTGGTAGGAATCCTTTGTGTGTGCTCTTGTATGTCCCTTGAGCGTTGAGAGTATATTCGCTAAGTGTTGAGCCAATCTGTAAGTTGGTGAATCGATTTGGCTCACTATAGGACGTAGTGGAGCATTGGGCTTGTGTATTTTTGATAACCCATACAACTTCGGTGGTTTAGCACACGTAGGTATTATCGATTTTACGTCTAGATTTCATTTTTCGGAGTGTTTCTTATTTTGTCGTTTCTCCCATAATTAATAAAATTAAATCCCAACCCAAGCATACAACTGCAAGACTTCATGATACTGTAAGTTCATACTGCGTAGTTCGGAACAAAAATTAATAATTTTTAATCTGGAGGTAGCCGTGGTTAACTATGGCATTGGAGTTTTGGCGGGAACTTGACCGGCGGCGGTTCGCTGCTCCTGTATTATAGTTTAAATAATAGTTTGAAGTGGATTTTGATATGTAAAAGTGGTGCGATTTTATGTATTAACTGTCTACGCATGTGAACTATTAGTGGAAACGGTGAAACAAGTGCTCTGATGGTGATGGATTCTCAAGATAAGCTGTTTGTCTGCATAGGCGCCTTTAGATACCATCGCCAACTGTCAGCTGTCTGCTGGCTCAAGTTGCCGTCAAAATCTCCCAAGGGCTGCACAATGTGACGCATCAACATATTGTGAAGCAGTGAACTATGAAGGATAATTATACATTTGGGAAATTATAATAAACCGAATAAAACTACTCAAGACTTGGCCTAAAGGTCTAGATACCAGGCCATAAACTCCAAAAAAAAAACTATGGCATTGGGACGTCATACACCTCAGTCTCAGTCATAGACATAGTATCTTAATCCTCTATCTCAATCCTCTATCTACGGTCTCAGTCCCCCCGTGACCATGGGTGCCGTCATAGATAAGAGTGTATATAGGTGCCGTAAAGTGCTTGAAACGTCGGGAATGTAAAATAAGTTAATATACGCGATAAAATCCGTAAAATTAGTTTTATTTAAATGTGTAGTGTTTGCGTAAATATAATAAATCACAGAGTACTTTTTATACAAATTGGAAATAGTGAGATTAATCAATACAACAATAAAATAAAAAAATATTTATTTCTTTATTATTTCTCACAAATTCTATGTACAACACATTATAATACGAAATAAATAAATAAATTATTGTCCTGTAAAAATAATTGTTTTATTTAAAAATGTCCTAATTTCTTCTTTCGGGGCAGAAAACTTTTTGGTAATGTAGTGAATCCTAATTTTTAAAAACTCTTTGCTGATCAACTTTATTAACAAGTTTTTATGATCGTCCAGTAAATCATTGTCAAACGAATGCTTGTCTAAATCACTGAATATAGATGTTAGCAATATTATTTGCGATATTTTATTAATCACTGTTAAAATATTTTTAGGCTGTCCTAAGAATTTGGAGCCTATTCTAATTTCGAACTCGGGCAGTATTTTTTCTGCAGTTTTACACACGTTTTTTACACCTTCCGAAGATTTAGTCCTCC